CCCTGTCCCATCCCAGTTCCTCTCCTGCCCTTACCGGAGCTGTGCCGCGAGCGGGAGCCAGCCTGGGGAACACCATCGCTGCTGACCAGGGAGTAGCCATCTATCATCTGGCGCCGGCGCCGCTGCTACTGCCTCTGCAAGTCACTCCGGATCTCCTCCTCGATCAGCGCCGACGTCTGAGGCTTCCAGCTCCTCAGCTTGTACTGCTCATCCCGGCCATCCTCCCTCCTGAGCGGGCTCTGCGTCCCCATCTCGTCCACAAAGGAGACCTTGGGCTTCCAGAAGGACAAGGAGAAATATTCCCTGGGCAGGGCAGTGGTGCCGGCAGGGCTTGGGGTGGAGCCGGGGAGTCTTCCTCCCTGGGAATCCTCACTTCCCCATTTGCTGGTGCTGGCGGAAACGTGCTGGGACACTGCGGGCTGCTCCCAGCTCTTTTCACTGGTGCTGGATGCCTGGAAGCGTGTGGTGCTCCCTGTGGAGCTGGGAAAGCTTCTCCCACCCCTGGGGTCTTCTGTGGGGTCCGTGGGCTGCTCCTGACCCCAGCTCCTTGAGAAAATGGCCTTTGGCGCGGGGGCTTCCTCCTGCTCAAACACCCTCCTGCGCTCGTCCAGCTCCTGCTGCGTCCCCTTGTCGTACGTCCCCAGCAGCCTCCCCTGCCTCTTCAGGTCTTCCTCACGCTTGGTTTCCTGCTCGATTTCCCTCTGGACATAAAGGGAAGCGCGGCCTTTGTCCTTCCCTTTCCTGCCTGGGCCTGGGGACGTGTGCATGGAGAGAAGCGGCTTGGTCTGGATCTCCACCAGCTCGCTGCTGGAGGTCAGCCGCTGGATCCCCCTCTCCTTCCACAGGTTCTCCTCCCTCTCCATCGCCATGCGGATCTCCCGCTCGATGGGTGTCTCATTGCTGATCTTCATCTCCTTGTCCAGGCCATTGCTGCTGGCCCTTGGGTCCACGAGGCCGTTGGAGATCTCGTTGGATAAGCTTCTATCGCTGGCATAGACTGTGTTGGCTTCACTGTACATCTCACCCAGGCCAGAATCCAGGTCTTCTCTGGAAGATGCTTTGGTGAAGCCAGACATTTTTCTGGTGGGATATGACCTTTCAGCATCAGCCTTTCTGGGAGCATAAACCTCCTCCTTCACAGGTGTCTTGTAGGACACACTATAAACCTGGTACATGCTCTTATCTGGCCAGCTCTGGCTGGATGCATCAGCATTACCATAACCTCTTGCAGCCTTTGTGGCCGTCTCAGGACTGTGCCACTCCTGCCTGGTGACTTTTGTCATCGACTCTGGCTTTGGAGACACGGCCTGTTGCTCTGGGCTGAAGAAAGAGCCTGGGTTGGTCTTCTCCAGCATCAGGAACTGCTGCCGAGCAGCAGAGAAGTTGATCTGCTCCGTGTCAATGTTCTCAGGGTCAACTGGTGTCGCTGCCCTCCCCGGGGAAGCTTTGTCAAAGCAAATGGCAAAGCTGGTGGTGACACTGCCCTTGTGCCTGCCTTCACCCTGGCTTATGGAGCTCAGCTCATCCATGGAGCTCCACCTCTCGGCCATGGTGGAGCTCTTCCTCATCACCTGGCTCCGGATGACCTCCCTCCTCTCGTCCTCCAGCTCCCTGGCTTTCTCGGGTGAGATGTTCGGTGGAGGGACCCTGCACTGCTCCTCCTCATCCTCCTCGTAAAGCTTCGAGGGTTTCCTCTCCCCTCTGTAAGACCTGAGGTCGTACAGGCTCCCCGACCTCACCACCTCCAGCTTGGACTCCCTGTCTGGGGATGGGGTCCAGACTTCTCTCCCACCATGCAGGAGATACGAGGGTGACCTTGATGTTGTTTTCCAGCCGTATCCATTCTCCACCCTCTGGCTGCCGAACACGTCGTCGTCGCTGTCGGCCCTTTGCTCTGCCAAGGAGCCAGCCAGGGCAGCATCGCTGTGCTCGTGCTTGTTCGAGGTCTGCGGGAGCTGGAAGACCAAGTGCCGGGTGACCCTGTCCATCTCCTGGGAAGAGTCAGCATCCAACCCTCTGCCAACCTTGCCCTGGGCCGGGGACGCTGCTCAGGCTCCTGGCTCTGCAAGCAGGAGGAGAGAGCGTTAAGCAGCGGTCGGGGGTCCTGCTCTCAGCCTGGTGCTGGTGTCTTGACACGAACCAGCCACATCCCAGCTTCATTTGTTCCATTGCCCTGCAGAAACGCTGGGTCTTGGGCAGAAGCAGCCAGAGCACGAAGCAGCATTCCCAGCGGGAAATGCCCCACAGCCAGCATCCCCTTCCTGCCTCCATCCCCAGCTTGGTTGTGTCCTGAGCAAGTGAAACCAAATCGCACTGCCCACACCACCGAGAGGGACATGGAGCTTTGGGTTGACACCACGACCAGCTCCCGCCTGCTCCAGCACCTCATCCCACCCTCACACCTCACCATGCAGGGACCACCGGTGGCACTGGGAGCATCAGCTCATGGCAACACCCGATCCACCTCTGCCTGGAATTTCTCCTTACGCCTTTACTGGAAGGAGGCTCCAGATTGCCTGGCTATTGAAACAGAGGGGACCATAAACATGGTTTCATGGCTCATAAAAAGGAGGGGACTTTAACCCCCGTATCACACAAAGCGAGAAGAAACTGCCTCGACCTTGGTGTTGATCCTCCTGCACTACCTGGGCTGGAGCCAGATGGGTGTCAGGGGAGGGACGGGCAGTGCAGGCGGGTCCCTGTGTGACAGTGGCTCTCCTGATATTGTAAATGCCATTCCCAGCCCCTGTGCCATCCGGACTCATGTAACCTGTGCCCAGCAGCGCATCCTCCCTCCCTGTGTGCAGAAGCAGGAGGATGTGGGTGCCGGAGCATCCTGGGTCACGCAGGGTGGATGCAGCATGCCCTGGACTTATGTCCTTCCCTGCAGGGACCCTGTGGATGCAGCTCCCTCCACTCACCCCGGGCTGCCCTTCACTTCCTCCCACATCCATTTTAAGCCTTTCGTGGAATGGGAGCACCAGGGTCTTGTCAGGGGCACGGGGGCACCGCGGGGTGATGCCCGGTCACTGAGTGGTTC